CGATGCCTTAGATACCACCTGGGCTGACCTTTCGACGGACGAGCGGGAAACCATCTTTGCAGACATCAAACAGTACGCGTCTTTTCTTCGGGAGCTTCAGCCCCCCTCGCAAGATATCGTCTGCTCGGCTTCTCGTAATCCCGCATACGACTGCCGTATCGGGTTTCTATTCTTTAGTCCCATGACCCATGACGAGTTTCATTCTTTGACGCGAAAGAATGTACTTATGGACGACGTCAAAGCCGGTGCTCTCGGCCGAGAAGTGGCCACAACGCATACAAGTCGCTACCGCACATATTTTACGCATGCGGACCTAGCCCCAAGAAATATTATTGTGCGCCACGGGCGAGTTGCTGCTATCATCGACTGGGGGTTTGCAGGATGGTATCCAGAGTACTGGGAGTTTACGAAAGCGCACTATAACTTTTTCTCCGAGGAGTGGGAGGAGTATCTCTCAATTGCTCTTCCCGCCTACCAAACGGAGCTCATAGCCGAACAGACCCTCTGGAGAATGCTGCCGGAACCGGGTGCGGCATCCACGTCTTTTTTCCGCGATGGAACCAGCTTTTCGCACAAAGGCTCAGAGCCTTTAGAACCCTGGCTGGCTGCTAGAAAATGTCGTCAGCAGACAGACTTGTGGTCTTTGGCCCTAATACCAAAGAATTGACATGTATATCTCTTCTCTCTACCAATCGCCCAACCATTGTATAAACTATAAACACATCCCCCACCCCCTTGTCTGACCGGCCTACTGGTCTGCGAGAAACTTATTTTTGTACACGACATTCAAGCATTCCGATTTGCGAACTCCTGTTGTTGAAGGAGACAAAGTCCACATCCGTGTAGCATTTAGCAATACTGGGCCTCGAGAAAGTGCGGCCGTTGTTCAAGCACATGACGGGTTCCCTTCAGCTGCGGCCATGGGCCTGAAATGGTCTGGGCTAGTTCAAATATAAGAGAATATGAGACGAATCAGAACTTCCACTAAGGGCCGGGGCCGACCATTTCAGGATTGAAGTCGGCTCTGGACTGGAGACACTGGATGGCTTTCCCGCGTCGAGCACTAGCCAGGCAGCGAATACATCTGCCGGCAGAGGCAGGTCCAAGGCAAGACGTTATGGTGCATGCTTCAAGTCCATTTTGGGTATTCTAAGCCCTTCCTATCGAAGTTTTGATTGTCCGAAAGGTTATAGACATACACCTGTAAACAACTTTGACCGGCTTCTGCGGACTAACACTTTCCGACATGTCGACTTCACAGTTTTGAGAAATCGACAAGAGCAACTACATCATGAGAAGTTTCCATAGCGGACAGCTCTTTCGGTTTGGTAAGTCTCTGAACCTCAGCCAGTTCTTTCAATGGGCAGGGTGGAATCGCCAAATATGGCACGTTGGCACATGTGAACAAGGCAGTGTCTCGACAAGGAGGCCTTGCCACTTGAGTGCCTGAATAAAGCGCCATCATCATTTTAACAATGTGATTCAAATCCTCGCCAGATTCCAGGTATCATCAGGTCAGATTGGTAGGTGGCATTGACGTGGATATGGCAGGGCTAACAGCTAAGAGATAACCGTATATAAGTAGGTAAGGTTCATGTACGCCCACTTGCTCCAGAACCAGCTCGAACGCTCACGGCCCTAGCGCACCAACCTTATCATAAGGTGCCAAACTCCGAGACCTTTCGCCGTACTGCGTGGCCGGTCCGGTGGTCTTTCACACCCGACCGCGGGCATTGACCTCAATGAGTTTTCCCGCCCTTCGATGCTGCATAAATTGCACATGCTTTCGGTTGGCATAGACCACTGGAAACTAAGGCTTAACTGCCAAGCCAATAGCCTGCCTTGCGAGCCCAGAATGTTGGCCAACCGGATGGTCGTTCTGTGCGGATCGGATGTCTCCGTCGCTTGTATGCTTGACCTCGAGAAGACGGCAACAATCTCACGCATGACACATGATTGAGGCATCCGCATGACCTGCCTTTTCGTACGAGCATTGTCATGTTGGCTTCATCCTCGCTTCTACGGTATCGTGACAATGTACAATAGCATCCTCATGTTCTGGATCGTCAAACTTTCCAACTGTATACAGCCACCTGCCCGAATCATCATCATGCAACAACAGAGCACGGCCTTCCGACTCTCGTAAGTATGTCTGCCGATCTGACTTTGACGATGTGAGTAAGGGATAGCGCCAAATAAACGCTAAGATTCATCTGTAGCAGACGAGGCTGCAAAGTCGAGATACCGCTGGTCAATCCAGTACTTGAATGGGCTGTTTCTTGTTATAGGGAGCCATGATGTGGACATGGAACCGTCTAATTCGTCGGTAAAAAGTATTGCACTCACTTATGTACCACGGCCAAGGGGTTTTGAGGCAGCTTTCAGCGAACTTTCAGCAGAAAGAACTTGGGGATGGTCCAATGAAGGTGGCTATGAAGTCTTAAGGAGACTCGCGGCCACAGTATGGGTTGGCCGCGTTGAATAGATAAATTCAGACTGGGAATTTTTTAACTACAGGATCAAGATGTCTCATGTGTGAGAGCCCCTCATCTTAGCATTCCCCAAAACAGGAACTCAGCAGCAGAGACAGGTATTGAAGCTATGGTCAATACAATGATATAGATGAGGGAGGATGTATTCCCTTTTTTCTCACTCCAGGTGTATGCGGACAAGGAACCGCCAGCAGGAGATTCACTTTCTTCAAGCTCGAGCTTGCTGATGGCAAGCCTCAGAAGATTCTCAGCGGCTTTTTCTATGATCATGCCTCACGACATTTACAGTCTGACAAGGGTAACATTCGCCGTGTTTGATGTTAGCTGCAGTAGCCAATCACTGCCGATGTCATCAGACCAAACACGTGCTTAATGCAGCACGGACGCAGGGAACAAAACCTCAAATGTCCATAAATCTATCGTTGACTTTTGATCAACCGGACGTAGCCCATGTAGGCAACTCCCACGAAGCTCCCCGTGACCAAAAGGCCGAGAACCGTCAAGTCCCAATTCCTTGCTTTCCATACCGACATTCTAGAGTCCGCCGTCTGCAGATGCATTGGCCTTCTCCGCCTCTCCATCCTGAGTTTATCACCCTCGACCGCTGGGAACTTGCTGAACATGTTATCGAACATAACCTCCTCGATCAAATCCGCACCGTATTCCTTCTTCCTCGACGAAACACGCGCAATATGCTTCATGCGTTTTATATCACGTGAGAATACACCACCTTCATCCCTCAAAATGATTCGTGCCTTTTGAAGCACCTCTTCGCCAGTGAAAGCCGCTTTGTCGAGGTACATGCCAGTGCCTGCCTCCTGTACGCGAAGTCCGTTGAGAAGCTGGTCGAAGAAGAAGCCCAGAACCAGCATTGGCGTGCCGTGATATGCGGCTTCGTTGACGCTGCTTCCACCGCCATGCGTCATGAAGAGGACCGTTTCAGGTCGGTCCAAGATGGCTCGCTGGGGCGCAAAATTCGCGAAGAGCCATGCGCGGTTCTTGTTGTCAAGAAGATCGCCCAAACAGACGTTGCTGCCTTTAGCAATACGATGAGCTCGGTTGAAAAGAGCGCGCTGCGCGTCTTTTGCGACCCAGATGATGCCGTCGATGAGGCGTTCTTCGAGCAAAGACGAAAGCGCAAGGACGAGACGTTGTAGATACTCAGGAGGCACCAGAACATGAGTGCCGAAAGAAATGAAAACTACGCGATGGTGTGACGCGAAGAGGGCCTCCAGGCTTTCATCCAGAGAAGGATACTCGTCAGCGAGAATGGGCCCTACAGCCGCCATCAGCGGCGGCAAGTCTTTTGGTGTTTCCAGCCCCCAGAACGAGTTGACCAAGACGAGGTAGTTCGGCTTGTTTATCGTGAAAAGCGAGTACGTGACACCAGCTGCCCGTCGCATATTACGCATGAACCAAAAGTACGGAATCAATGCCGAGATGGTCCGCAGGGGACGGAAGGCTGCACGGATACGCGCCCATAGTGATGCATACTCGCTGCTTAAGGCATCGATTTGTAGCCCTGGCACCCCGGGGATGTACGGGGCGCCGACCATGCCGTATGGCATCTGGGGCCAAAGAGTCGCGACGGGGATGCCGAACTGGTGCTGAATGTCTCGCACGGCGTCGACAAAGAAATCGGCTACAATCATGTCTGGTCTCGAAATTTGAATCACCTCTTTCAGCGACCTGTAGTCAGATGCCCAGAACGCGTCGACGGTAAATTTTGGCAGAAAATAGTCTCGATAATCTCGTCTGGCGTCTGTTTGTTGCATATGGAGATAGTGGGCGGCTTCTTTTTCCGCAGTCATGGGATCGCCCATGGTGTGCGTCTGAGAGATGAAAGAGTAGTTTGGCGAGTTCACCCACTTTTCTTGCCCCCGATGAGTTGCGAATTCGACTCGATGGCCTCTCCTGGCCAATATGCGGCCCAGCTCCAATACGGGTGCTGTGAGTCAGTCAGAACGATTTGAATGGTGGTTGAGCGGTACTCCTTTGAGGCGTGAGAACCAACCTGCATGTGTCAGGCCTCCAGTGCCAGACACCACCAGTATCTTCGCTGAAGAATCATAATGTCCAGAGAGAACCTCTGTAGGAGCTTTTGGCAAGTCGCTATCTTCTGGGGAGTGGCCATGGATGTTTGCCTTGCCTGACACAGCTGGGAAGCCGATTCGGCTGCCCAGCTCAACATCGCGCAAGTTTGAGGACATCTCGCAGTCTCGCTGATGGCGTTTGCCTTGATCTAACGAGAAGTAAGACCTGTGTGGAATTTGGTTCCCGTTGCGTGGTTCAGTCAACGGTGGTGAACTAATCGCGAAGTTGGTGATAGAAACGGCGACCAAATGCTAATCAGCCAGCGAGATTCTCAGCCAGGCAATCTGCGCGAGTTCATCATGAAACAAGGGCTTTGATGGATGGATGCTGCTCAGAAGATGGTGTCTTCAAACGGATTTCGCATCGCGGCCAGTGATGAGTTGGCGCATCATCTTGAATACCACTTTTCCCAGCTTTGCATCCTGGGCATCGCCTGATTGTTGTCGAAAACGAAGTCATGATGGCATGATTCACCGTCTCGGAACACCAGCTCCAAGGAGGAATGGGTGAGGTGGTCTGTGCTGAGTGGCCGCCCTTTTTCAGTTCTGCCGCCTCCATTGCCATACACACAGTAAACATGTTCATCTCGTACCCGCAACCCATCAGATCAGTTTGATTCACTTCCCCAGGGCATTTTTTACGGTACAAGATCTTGGTGGTGTCATTCACCTGGTGTCAGGAGGCTTGTGCGCCCAGTGCCTCCCATAGCTAGGTTCCGGCACCCTCATGCCCTGTAGAATAGCTACAGAACACACACCTTTCTTCCGCACTTTAACCCATACAACACAAGGCGTTCAATGGCCTAACAGTCAGGCGATCAGAGCGGCACGCATGATACAACCAGCATGCCAGACGTGGCTCGTGTGGACACTTGGGTTGCCGGACTAGAAGTTTTGGGTCATTTGGAACAGTGTGTCCAGCAGCAGAGGCTAATGCTGGCCACCTTGTCGATGGAGTCTGGGTACTTGCGGTGATGGAGGAAAAGCGGGCCGGTTCTGGTACAGATAGACTGCTCAGTCTACAAGCTTTTCTTCATGCCACGAGCTTACCAAGGGTAGTATTACTTGATCGCAGGTTGATGTCCGGAGGTATTCTGAAGTATCTTTACGTTTGCCTGTATCTGTAAGCTTCTCGTATTCGGGGGCTCATTGTAATAGCGCACACCGCCCCTACACATGAGCACAGCTACTGCAATGACACAAGCAAATCTCGCTTCCATGCGCCAGATTGGGGGATTGTCTCGCATTCATGAGTTCCGTATGTATGGCCTGGCATTCGCAACATGGCATCAAATAGCATACGCCAAGAGTGAAAAGTGTTGAAAACGAAGGTTTATCGAGCAATCTTTTTTCGACGGCTTTGGGTGTTTCTTTCCCTTTCGTGGATCTTGAACTACCCAATTTGCAACTCCGGTCATCTTGTCTAGTCAATCTGGCTGGGACTGTGAAGCCGCCATTGATTTCTCAAAGCCCGCGACGCCAAAGCGTAGGCATAAACCAGCCCATGCTCTGCTCGCCATGTCAAGCAGAAGGCCGCGCGTATCACATTTTCTCGCAGTATATCATGAAATCGTGTCATTGCTCAAAGGCAGTTCTAATGCTGTATGCAAACAGCCAGATCTAAAACCCATGACCGTCTACCCGTCAACGTTCGCTATCGCTAGACCCCCCATTATATATGTATGATTCGTTTAATGTTTAAAGCACCCCGTGTAAACTCCGGCAGTCATCATAATGCATCGTCAAGAAGCATCTCAGATCTTCTCGACCCAGGCGTCACCCTGCTTCTTCTCATCCAGAGCACCCTCCTCGCCCTTCTCGACTCTCGACAGTAGTGCTGGGGGCAGACTTGGGCGCGAGGATGTTCATGCCCTTG